CATCCCAGTGGGATATCTGTTTTCTTATCTAAAATCTCAGGTTTCCTGTCACTTTGTGATCCTTGGCTCTAAGAATCAAGTATCTATGCTTATCTTTCTTATGCTATACTTATTTTTACACTAAGAAGTTCCTATAAGTGCATCATTAATAGCATAACATTATAAGAAAAAAATATTTCTTTGCCCTCTAAAGAAGATACTACATTACTAGAAATATATAACAATAAATGTAATATGTTTGGGGTTTTTTTTGACACTATGTAGCCCAAGCTGATCTCAAACTTTCTCAATCCTCATGCCTCCACCTCCCAAGTCCTGTGATTACAGGTGTGTACCCCAGAGCCCAGCAGTAAATGTAATTTTAAATTGTTTTAGAAAAAAAGTCTTAAGAGTGTGAATCACCCACATTAATTGTATCAAAAATATTTTCTCAGAGATCAGGGAAAGCTTCATTTCTGTGTAGAACAAAGGTGATGTTTTTCTCTGCCTCTTACATCTGTCTAAAGGACAACCTTAGGAAGTGTCATTTGGATGAGCAACTAGCACAGCAGTTACTCAGGGCTTTGTGTGTCAACCTGAACTGCTTGTCCCCATGTGAACAGTAAACATGGAAGGCAAGATGGACTGGCCTCATTCGGTTTTGCCCATTGAAGTCTCCCTTTCCACTACCTAACCTATTTGAAGCTCATTTCTATATTACATATTTTTAACATAGTACATGAGGAATCAAAATGACCTTCCAAAGTATAGTAACAAATGATAGCAGGTGTCACATCTGGAGGTCTCCTGATATTGTTTTGTCTGTTTCTTCTGTGCCTTCTCTCAGCAGTCTTTAGTTACTAAACACCCACACCTGAGAACTGATAGAGAACAACAGTAAGCTGTACTAGAACAGAAAGAGCCAAAGTCTTACAGTGGCCTTCACGACTCTTACGATCAGGATCATCCCAAACTCCAGGCTAGCACCTGCCATTCTTCCCTCTCATTCCACTCCTTCCTTCTTCCCTAAGTGGACTGCATTGTGACCTCTCTCACCAACTTCAGGTTTTTGTTCAAGTTACCTTCTCAAGGAAACTTACCTGACCACCTTATTTAAAATCACAAAACCAGCTGAGTGTGGTAGCTCATACCTGTAATCCTAACTACTCCAGAGGCAGAGATTGGGAGGGTCACAACTGGAGGCAAGTCCAGGCAAAATGTTAGCAAGAACCCACCTCAACAACAAAGAGCTGAACTTGGTGTGTGCCTGTCATCTCAGCTACACAAGAGGCATACTTAGGAGGCGTACAATCCAGCCTTCCCTGGGGAAAAACTTGAGGCCGTATCTAAAAATTAACTAAAACAAAAAGAACTGGGGTCATAGCTCAAGCGATAGAGCACTGCATAGCAGGCACAAGTTCAAACCCCAGTACCACCAAAAACAACAACAAAATCACAAAATACTCTATTTCCAAATGCCTTTATTTGTTCTACTTTTAAAATTGCATTTATCATTTTCTAAAATACTAAATCCTTTGCTGATTTATTATTTATTTATTATCTGTCTCCTTCCCCCGCTCCCAAAATTAAGCTCATTGGTGCTTTTTTTGTTATTTCTGTTGTGCTTAGAATAATATCTGATATTTGTTGGTAATCAGTAAATACCTGTAAATGGCTTAGGAAATGAATAAATAATCCTTTTTCTCCTTGTGAATACCTGTCTAGTCAAAAATACTGATTGGGAGTGATTATAGCAGAATCCCATTAGTTAAAATATAAAGATTCAGAACACAACCATTCCATTTTTAAGGTTAAGCAATTGCAAATTCCTAATCAGACCTGACTTTTTATGTCTTCACCCCACTCTATGACTCTTGATGCCAAAAAATCCCAAGGGCAGCTTGTGTCCTTGTTAAGCTGCTAAGCATGAGGAATGTGCTCAGAGGACCAGACCTCCAAATAGGATCATAGGAAAGTGTGGAATATGTTTTCTCTACACAGCATTGTTAAACTTTGCCTCTGATCTTACACAAAATCCAATTTTAAATATTGCTGATTTCTAGTGCAAAAATGTATTCTTCCACAAGGCCTAACTTGAGTGAATGTTTGCCTTACCAAGTTATCTGGAGTAATCACAGCCAGAAAGAGATTCTGCATCTGTGAAGGTCCAGGGGTCTATCAGCTCCTTGGCAAGCTGTAGATCATAAGGTGAGCTGCCTTTCAACAGGACCTGCAAGTTAGCAATTGTGTTTTCTTGGCTGTGAGACAGGAAAGCCCCTGTCCTTAGAGACAAATTTAGGCAAATTTTTTCTCCAACCCAAAAATTCCCTTATTCTGTTTCAATTTACAAGTGAGTCCAGAGATATACATCTCTTTATCAATTCTCTTATTTTTTCCATAGTTAAAAATCAACTCTGATGCTATGAGTTCATTTTAAATCAAGAAGTGTCTTTGTTTTGCCCTAAAGAGAATTGTCATGTTTTGGTTTTTTGGTTTTTTTTTTTTTTCATCTCTAAGCCACCTGTAAAATAAGAGGTGATGAGGCGATAACCCATGTTGGTAAGTAGCTACTAACCCAGCAAACCAGCATACTGAACACAGGTGACTTAATTCATCATGTAGCCTAAGTGGAAAGGTGTAAGGAGAAAGGAAGGGTAACACTTATCCTATGTGCAATCATGTTCAATCCTCTGGTTTTAATGAAACAAAATGCACTTGATTCTAGAAAAGGCTGATAAATTTACCCTATAATCAAAGTTTAATCCCAAAGACCGAAAGCATGCCTAGTAACACAAGCTCACCTCTTAGAGACCTGCTTGTAGACTTGTATGATCTGTTTAATCTTTTCCGTTGGAAAGATCCAAGATTACTTTCCAGGTTCTGGCATCTGTGAGTACTTCCATTATTTCTGGATCCCAACGCTTATACGGCCCTGAGTGCAAGTTCAGTGTATTTAGGGGACTCGGGTCCATCTTGGACGAGGCTCTCTGGACTTGGACAATCCAGTTCCAGCTCTGCTCCTTTATAACCATGTGACCTTGGAACTCCCCTGAACCCCCTTTCTTCAAAGGTAAATTAGAGACAATAACCACATCAACCACATAAGGTAAAGCAGTTGTAAATTCTCATTGAATGTTAGCTGTCAGTATCATCCTTATTTTTGACCTTCACAGCAATCCTACCAGGTAGCAATTATCCCTGCTTTACAAATTTCAGAATTGAGCCATAGAGTGACTTTCCTAAGAATATCCAGAAACTAAGGGGTTAAGCTAATTTGAGTACATAAAAGCACATACTCCTCCTTCCACCATGGCAATTCTTTTAAAGCTATTCTATTTTAACCCCCAAATTATTTTGGTCTATAGATCGAGAACCTGGACCTTGTTAAACACTTTCATTTCTCAGTGCCACTTACCAAAGGGCTGCATCTGAAAAGTGGCACTAGGCACATAGCCCCTGTCTTAGCCCTCTACTATTCTGAAGCATTCGTGTTTGCTACAGGAGAAAATTCCACTCAGGAGACCCGATCACACAATCCTACACTAATGTCTGTGTAAAGCTATGCTACTTCCTGGAAGCCTTTGTAATGTGTGTTAGCACCTGGGGTCACTAATGGGCAGAGGAATTAACAATTAAGTAGGAGCTAAGTGAAATATTTATAGGAGCTGGTGGGGGAACCATTACAAATGGGGCCACATGCCTTGAGTCATTTATAATTCAGCCTTATTTCAGAGAGAAATTCACCTTTCCACATTTCAGAAGATGTTCTCCTTTAAATATTTGCGTAATTTTAATGCCCCACCCCCCAAAAAAACAAAGGAAATTAGTAAACATGAGTGCCTATTATATACCTACCACTATGTTTGGGGCTAGAGGAAGTTCATTTATAACCATTGCTGTGAGTTAACAACCAAGTAAAGACATCTAAATACTACAGAACAAAACAAGAACTGAAACAATATACGATGGGTACCTTTGTTTTCCCTGAGGCTAATAAATGCCAAGCAAATAGAAAGGCCTTTCTTTTTGAACAAAAAGAATGTGCAGCAAACAAACAAGAGAAGGGAACAATTTATTCTGACTGGAAATCTTGGAAAAGGTCTCATGAAAGAAATGTTGATGGCCTTGAAGAATGAGTAAGCTTTTGACTAGGGGAGAAGGAGAAGCCATAAAAGGCAGAACTAGTGTAGGAACAGGTGAGCAAGCCTGTGAGTGCCTGGCACATTCAGGAGGCATCAAGGAGAGTGTAGCTTAGTGCAGTCTTCACAGGAGGACAATAAGGGCCTGGAGGTCAGCTGAAGCCCATCGTGAAGGCATTAAATGCCAAAGAATGAAGTTTGCAATCTATTCTCTGGACAGTAGGGAGGGTTTTCAAGGACACAGTAATATATTCACCTCATTATTTTTGGAACATAATCTCAGGAGAGTGAGAAGGATGAATTAGGAAATGAAGCTGGAAGTAGAATCACAGGCGAGGAAGTACATGTAGGAGGCTTGTGAAGTGCTAATGTCAGTGAGAGATGACAAGGCCCTAGAGGGGCTGGGGACCACACACCAGGGGAAGAATGCCTATGGACAGGGGAAAATGAAATATGGGATCAAAGAGGAACTGGTGGCTCTAGCCAGACTGCTTTGGGAAGACGTTAAGTACCAGATCCCTCAGTGAGACTGGAGTTTCTAGAAAAAGCTCATCTTATTTCCTCCCATGCCTGGTTCAATGCATTAATGGCTTTTTTCCAAGCTTACTTCTTGCAAGCCCATTTCTACTTTCAAGGCACAAAGCTGTTTGATAAATGTAAATCATTCCAAAGAAAGCTCAGAATGTACACCAGTAAAGACCATACCCATGTCTTCTGAAGCTTGAAATAAAAACAACACCTTTAGAAATGACCATATCAGACTTGCACAGGAAACACTTCTATAGAAGTAAGCTCCTCCTGAGCTTTGAGCATTTCCTCTTGAAAATGCATGTCAACTCTCATTTTCTCTTTATTTTTCCTCCCCCATGCCTTCGCTTTTAGAGGAAAAGTCCGGTAAGAAATAACAAGTCCTTTTTTCCATGTTTTGGCCAAACATGTATTCTGTTCATTTTCACCATCAGCATAATGTGTTTAACACCTAAACAAGGTTTTGAATTTTAAAACCAAACCTTTGTGAAGCAGGACAAGGTCTAATTATGCCACATGGGGAAGAAAGGAAGTTGGTTGCTAAGTGATTTTGCAACCCTGTTATTAAGGGCTCCAGGGTAATTTTGTAAAGATTCACCTCTGCCTCCATCACAGGCATATGATCAAATATTTTACATCCTAAGTTTCATTTGTTGCAGTTTTCACTTGAATTAGTCAAGATACATGTACATACCATGAGTAAGGCAAACATTTTTAAGTTAATTTTTTGTTTAATGTACAATCTAATAGCATCCTAAGTGTTTGTGAAACTGGCCAGGAAAGGGGACTTGTAGAAGATTTAGGACTTTTTTATGTTGTTGTTGCTACTGTCAGTTTTTGTTTTAGTAAATCAAAATATCCCTTCATGGAATTGTCAAAGACTGGAAAAGGGGATTTTTATAAAATGTAAATCACTGCCTGGATGTTACCTTTTAGTGCCAGTGGGTTATTTTTAGTTGCAGCACAAATCTGATTTGATGTACCTACATCTTTTTATTTTAGAGCATCATGGAATAAATCTTGAAAAGAAAAGAAAAATATGTTCTTTTCTCAGTTGCCTAGTTTATTAGAAACATGTTCCCAGAAGTCCGTGCATGACTGACACAGGTGACTGCTGCTGAAAAATACAAACATGTTTTCATGTTTACAAACACCAGGAAGTGGTTGGTTGGTTCCCATTAGCTTACTTAAGGGGTTGCTGCAAAAAATGCTGTCACCTCTTACCTTATGCGTTGGCCCAATATCAGTAGTCACTTCACTGGAATAAAGTGCATGTGTTAGGAAGAAAGAGGAGAGGAAGGTACAAAACAGAAATGAAATTTCAAAACATGAGCCCAAAATAAAATAAACACCTATAATTATGATTATGACTTTGAGTGTTACTGAACTAAATGGCCCACTTCTTTTTTTTTTTTCTGTTTGTTTTATTATTCATATGTGCATACAAAGCTTGGGTCATTTCTCCCCCCTGCCCCCACCCCCTCCCTTACCACCCACTCCACCCCCTCCCTCTGCCCCCCACCCCCTCAATACCTGGCAGAAACTATTTTGTAAATGGCCCACTTCTAATGACTGTGTGTCACATGTTTCATGGCCGTACATTGCTGGTGCTTTCTAGTAAGCTTTCCTTATGTGTTGCCAATTTCATGTATTTTCTGTGACCCTGGATTTTTCTCTGAATTAACCAGATTTGGCCACTACAAATACTGAAATTTGCTCATGGTACTTCTGAAATCCTCTGTCCCTTATTGGCTCTCCTCCTGTTGTCCTTATGGTCAGACTTGACTTGGATTATACTTTTTCATTTTCATTTGTGTGTCTTCAAGGATGAGTCCACACACACTCCACTGCATCATTTTTCTTGGTCATGTCTTTGTTGGTTCCTCAGCCTGGGTATTTCTGAATGAGTTGGTTAGTAGCGGGTTCTTTGATTTGTGTCCCACATGGAAGATATCTAAGCATGTCTGATTGGATACAGTACATATTCTCTGTAATTGGACTTATAGTGTACAGGAGCAAGTTTAAATATAGACAAGTATCTACAATCCTATGCAAATAGATGCTTGCCAGATAATTTGTCCTCACCCTAAAGCATTTAAAAACAACAAGGAATGGTGGCTGGGATCATAATAATAAACTTAATGCTCATACCATCTAATGCTTTTTCTGTAATGTGAATCACTTGATTTGCTATGACTAGACGATATAAAAATGTTCAGTACTTTGTAGTCTATCATCCATCTTCCTCTGTGTTTCCTCATAGCACTGAATTTAGCAAATGAAGATATTTTAAACCTTCAAAATTTGAGGCTGGTTATTTAGTGAATTCAACAAGCAAGACAGATAATGTTTGGTTACTTTTCATAAATCTGTCAAAACATTTACTCCCATTGATGAAGACTAAGGTATTCTAGGGACTGGGGGTGAAGCTCAATGGTAGGGTACTTACTAGCATGAGATCCTGAGTTCAGTCCCTAGCATCACTATGTATGTGTGTGTGTGTGTATGTGTGTGTGTGTGTGCCAACTAAGATACCCTAGTTAAATGAACTTGCTACTGTTATGCAAAAAATAACAAAATATATCTATAGTATGATATAAAAACACTGTGGAAATTTTAATGGCATAGATTGCAGAATTTTCTTTTTAGGAAGGCAAATTCATATTGAAAATTGTATAACTTTTGAAGTAAACATGTTCTAACCAAAGGTCTTCATTTTAGTGACCAAATCATATATTAGCAGTGTTTACCCACTTCAAAAATAGCCTCAAAATAGAGTTATCTCAAAAAGGGAAAAATAAAATGATTTCCAGAAACTTCTCCAGAATGTATAAATGACCAAGAGAATTGAACAATTCATGTTTCATTAAGAATGTAAGAAATTTGGTCAGAACACAGTAGGACAACTGTAAATTTTCTGAGTAATGAGGTGTTCCAGATATTATGAGAACTTATGTGTGCTACAAATGCCTGCAATCAGAGACAAATTGGCCACCTGCAGATTCTTTATTCAGTTGTGCAGTTAAATACAATTTTACCCCGTGTTTAAAAACTAGAACATTTCAAATCTAAATAAAGAAAATCTGGATGTTAATTTCTCTCTAAAGATCTAGTGGTAGTAGGCCCATATGCTCACAGAGCAGACACAGTGACTACTGACCCACACCCGCCCTGACTCCTAGCTCCACCCACTCCTCCCCGTAAGCCTCTGGACGTAGACCTTTTGGCTTCTAGGATTCATTGAGACCAGATACTGAAGTTAATTTCTTCTTCTACATATGGGTAGAATATAGACAGAATGCCAAATGCCTTCAAATTCTTGGAGGAATGAGTAAAATAAAAATTTTAACAGGCAAAGACCCTTGTCTCCTAGCTAATAATTTTGCTGACCCTTTTGTCCAGCAGAGCTCTTCAGGGGTGATAACATACATTAAGCCTTTCCATTTGACTTCTGGAAATCTTTTCCTTTTGAAGGGTTCAGGTAGCTCTTAATTACAGACCATGCGGCCTTCTGCATCTGTACTTTGCACAGCTTCTAGCCGTGTCTTTGGATTCTGGTTAATCAGGCTGTGACTACATAAATTTAAACAGCTAGCTCCTGATGAAAGGATTTTGCAAATGACTTTTCCAAAATGCTATTGCATAAAGTTGTCTTTTAGAAGAAAAACTGCAACCATGAACCATTGCTTAAAACATGGTTTTAAACTTAGTGGAAATTAAGACATGACTTAATTTGAGTAGATTAATTTATTTGAAATTACTTTGAAAAACATTTTGTATAATCTTAAATTGATAATGTTTCTTATGTTTAAGGTTCTGTCTCTGTGTTGTTGCAATCTGCATCTTAATTTTCATTATTGTTCATAATTTTATGTTTGGGGAATTATGTCACTTTTAGTGCCCTGCGTGCTGTATTTTAAACATTTGTCATGAATTTTCCACATTTCCTTTAGAGAATTTTCAGATGGTCACTAAAGAATAATAAAGTCTAAACCTTCATATAAAAGAGTAAAATTTCCTTTAAGCATGTTACAGGTTCATAAGAGAATTTAAGCCCAGAACTATATATATATATATATTTACAATATATATATATATTTACAAATATATATATATATTTACAAATATATATATATTTGTATGTATGTATGTAAGTGCATTTATGCACACTGAAAGATTTATAAGAAAGGTGGAATCAATGTGGAGTAGTACCTCAAAATAAGGTAAATAATTAAGTCAAGTCTAAACTATTGCAAGTAAATTGACTTTAAAAAGTATGTCTAGAGTTCTAGGTACTGACAAAACTGGTCTGAGATTCAACCCTGTTGGCCACAATGGCTCTCTGTTTTAGGAGTTTTCCAACAGCGTTGTCCTTGGATCACAGAAAGAACAGGACAGTGAGAGCTTGAGAATCTAAATTCTGTCTCTGGTTCTGCTAATTTAGTAGCTGTGTGGCTCAGAACCTCACTTTTCTTTCTGCGTAATAAAGGCTTCCCAGGAAAAAGACTCCAAACTTTTGCTCTGGAGAGTGGCCTCTCCTCCTCATTGGAGCAACCTCCTACCACCTAGATGTTTGTGCTCCTGGCCTCTGTTGAGGAAGGTTGCCTCTGGGGAATCACACATTAGCCTACATCCTGAAAGCAAACCCTGTCTATCTCCTTCCCCACTGACATCCTAACACTCCTTTACTGCAGAAAGTTTATAAAGAGGAGAGCAATCAGAGATAGTTGGGGTACCCTCACAGCAGCCACAGTCAAGGTTGGAGGAATGAAAAAGAGAAGTCACGTGTCTGCTTGGTGTGTTTTCCAGACGTCACCTGGTCCACGAATGTCCTGTTGTTGCTGATCCGTTTTCCTTGTTCCCACCTGTGTTTGTCACAGGCTCCTCATCTTCCCCATCGCTGGTCTACCCACTGGTAGATGCTACGCAAATGACCAGGCCAAGGACAGATAATTTTTTTCAAAGGTCCTCAGAAGACACATTCTAAAGAATAATAAAGAGAAAAAATCCAAAGAAGATGGCTCTCTGAATCCTGCCTGATGATTCAGGGGCTCCCTGTAGGACCTATGTATGTGGGAATGCACCTCATCTATGATGCTCAATGTCCTTTCACATAGGAAAACAGCCTTCCTTGTGTTAGCTCTTTTCTAAGCACCCCCATACACACACCAAATAATCTGCAGGAAAACTCCTGATGGCAAGACATTAAAGGCTGTCAACAAAGATTGAGTATGTTTTTCAGCCTTGCTCTTAGGTACACATAACTAAAACTCGGGCATCCATGTTAGCAAAGCTGTATTATACAACAGTCCCCCATTAGGGTTCTCCAGAGCTTACTGTGGCTGGAATCAGCACTCGACACAATGCCTGCCTGTCTTCTCTGGCCTGATTATTTGGAGTGCATGTTTGGTAGCTGTCTTGCAGTCTTTTCTTACACAAGCCTGTTGACTGATCCATCATTCTCTGACTAGGTGTCTGTTCTCTCTTCCTTTTTGCTGATCACAGAGGCGCAGCCCGGTAAGAACTCTCAACATTTTTACCTTAAACATGTATAGAGAAAATTGCTTACAAGGCAAGGTGGTCAGGTTAGTTTCCCATTAAATTTCTGATAACCCAGGGTAAATGAAGCAGAGGAATTAGGGTTACTGGCTGGAAGCCTCTGGCTCTTTAAGAGCCAAGGACATATTTTAGAATTATCAGAGCAATTTCCATAACAGAGTAAGTTAATACATGGAAATTCTAATACTAGCGCCAAATCTGAAAAAAATGTGTGTGTTTAAGGACTACAGATTGGCCAGAAAGAACCAGAGAAGTTCATACAAAAGTGATTTAAAAAAAAGAATAAAACCACAAATAAAGGAATCAATTTTAAAGCCATTTTGTTTTAAAGTCTAAATTCAAAATATGTTCTTAGGCTATAACATGCTTTGGTCAGAATACACTGATACATACTTATAATTTCAGTTTTAGAGAGAGAGACATATTTTCAAGTCAGTACATCTAAGTGGTCACATAATTCTAAATTCCATTACTGAGCACAACTTTGGCAGGGTAGATCAATGGTAGCTCTCATTAGTCAAAGTAAAATCTCAGTTGCTTTCCTTAGGTTGGAGTATGGAGAATTCAAAGCAATAAAAACGAATCTTTGCTACATTTGAGTAATCTCATCCACCTAGTCAGTCCCTTAAGAGAGGAAATGAAACTAAAAACAGTGCTGTCTGAAAGATCCATAGGCCTGTGTCAATCTGTAATCAATTACTGTTTGGAGAAAATGCTTAGCCGTAGATGACAATTTGGTAGTTCTCTGAGGGTGGAAGGTGGCTTCTCCAGAGACTGCTATTCAGGTGTGATGATTCCAACCCAGCTGTTGGTGACATCCCAGATTATGACAGATTACTCTTGAAGAGTGAATTGATTAATTCAAAATGAAGAAAATTGATTCACAAGATCCATATAGCAAAAAACAGTCACTGAAAGAAGGAAACTGTGGTTACTGGTGGGAAGTTTTAATTCAGTGGGCTTCTTTTCTGATTGTGGTTTGTGCAGCTGATAAGGTCTTAACCTTGCTCTAGACTTGTCTTGCTGTAGTGTCAAGGTCACCAAAGACCTGTGTGAGGGATTCAGGTGACGTGGCTGGGGCTTTCTTTTCTGTTACTGTTGATTACTTGAATATTTATTCCTTTCTAAATTGTTACTTGTTTATTTTTTCTACTTTCTAAACAACAGAGTGTGTGTTTCTTCCACACCTGGCTTGCACTTAATATGCATGAGGAGTGTTTAATAAAAATGTTATAGAGGCTTCACTATCTTTCAATAATAAGTAGCTATGGAATAAATTGACATACCTGGGAACTGATTAATACAAAAGAGGCTGTCTGCCTTTCTTGGTTTCTTGAGTATTACATTTTTAATAAAGGGAATAGGGCAGAAAGACCAAAACCTCTTCACTTCAGCCCCTGGCAGCTCCTAACAGCTGAATTTCAGTTCTCACCTTACTGGGTAGCCCTCTTCTTTCAATGCCAGATTACTAATATTGTGATTGATTATTTGAAATTAAAGCCCCATATCAATTCCTTCAGACCTTATTAATACAATCCTCACTATCTGAGGATCTATAACCAAGAAAAAGACTTTAATTCCATTTAAACAATTTGTTCTCTGGTTATTTCCTTCTACAGAGCCATATTATCCACAACAAATGTGTATCCAAACTCCCCCTCGTGAACTTTAATAGAATTAAATGGCCATGTTTATTACATTATTTGCTAATAATGTAATAATTCTCTTGTCTGACACATAGAGTAAAGAGAAACAGATTGCATTTTTATACCAAAAAAAAAAAAACCCAAAAAGTATAGTTTGAGAAATTAAGCCAGCCACCCGAAAACACCTAATGGATATCAGATTAAAACTGCTCCTTTATCATAAATGGGTTCAAAATGGTACAGAAAACTCTAATCCATCCTCAGGAAAGAGGAAAGGTACTTATTATGGGTCTATTCAGAGGTAGATTTTGTTCTGAGCTATTAATGTTATCTTCTGAGAAGAAAGCGTATCTGTGACCATAAGGTTCAAGCCTTCATCATAATTAGCAAGTAGGGAAAAAATGTGTTTGGTGGCTGCTCACAAGGTTTATTCATTGTCTCACCCCTTGTAACACTTCCTTATACTGCCATCACCCCCCAACTATGCCTCTACCTCTCCTAAGGCAGGCCATGCCAAGCCATGCCCTACTCATGATTTCTGACCCTCCAGTGATCCACTTTTCTGGTAGTACCCTATGCTAAGAAACTTTCAGAGCTCCAACTTTGAGTCAAAACTTTATGTAATCAATTCTTCTATTATCTGAATAAGTTTATGGCAAGGCATTGTAAACCTAGAGGTGCCTTGCTCAAAGTATTCCCACTGGCTGGGGGCGGGGATCCCCGGTTCCCTGGATAAAACAGCCCACTCAGTGGCAGATGCCCCAAGTTTCCCTATGTTTTAACACTCTCTACTTCTATCTTTTTAAATCTCCTTAGTAATGGATGACTGTTTCTGCTAGAAACTTGGGTACCCCATTTGATCAGGAGCTAACAGTACTCCCAAAAACACTATAGAATTTTCAAACATCAAACACTTGTTAAACTTGGATTTACTTTCTTATCTGCTAGAGTTCAAGAGGGCTCTTGTTTTTAATGGACTAATATTTGTCTTGATTACCATACCTATCCAGGTAAGGGGTTTTGCTCATTCCAATGACTTGTGATTGCCCCTCCCTTTCTCGCCATCCTCTTTGAGTAAAATGAAAACTGATTTATGTGTGAGCATCTGTAAATTCTAACCTGTATGCAGTTCTGACACAAATATCATTTTCTCCCTCTGCATATCTTTGAGCTCAGTTTAATTACGATGACAGAAATAATACATATTGTAAATAACATATATGTGGTCTTAAGCCTTATAGTGTTTATTTCTAATTCTAGGGTGCAATTAAAAGGAACTTATCCAGTAAGTATATCTTAGCTACCAGAAATAGAGTATGGTTTAAAAGAAAGAATAGTTCCTCAGATCTTGGAGCATATGTGCATTTGAATTATATACTTGGGCTTTATTTTTAAGGTTTACAGTTTGTTATTTTTACTTTTACATCAAAGAATTCTTGTTATACTAGCTAGAGGATCTCTGTGGGTTCTGAATGATTAATGTTTTAAATACTGAAAATGAATAAGTTTTTGGGGAATACATTGCTATTTTCTTCCTATATTTATCAACTCTTGCCATATCATTTAAGTTTATAAATGAATTTAATCAAATGTATTTATTGATAGGGGAGGGGAGAGGAGGGCAAAAATAACTTATTTATTTATATTATATTTGATATGAAAATTTCAGTCAACTAGAGTGATATGATTTAGGTTAGAGTATAGGTAGAGCATAATGTTCCTCTGCTGTATACAACACATTCCAGGGAATTCTAAATTCATGGTTCATAGTTAGCGATACAACATTTTCTTGGCATTTCAAGAAAAGAGCAGGCAGAGAATGCAGGATTTCTGTACTATGTACATATGGCTGGCTTATTCTTCTCTTACGGTAATTGGGAGGCAGAACCAATCAAGGCAGCAGACATTTGAAGAACAGAACCTTATTCCACTAAACTCAACAGTACACAAATCTTTTTGATGGCTTGTTTATAGTAGCTCCTTGGTTAATGAAGGTTTACAAATGCAAGAGAAAATACCACTACATATGCCAAATACATGACTGCTACATGCCAGGGGAGAGGGTTTGCTTTGCAAAGTTTTCATATTCAGTTACTTATTGATGAGATTTAAATTTCTAAGTGTTTCCAAACATAGTTCTTATGGCACATCAGAAGGGACTGGTAAAAAATATGCCTAAAAAGGTTTTTTGTCCTGTGCATCAGGTGAAGAAGTGGCAAGACCCAGGCGTTCCACCCCAACTCCTGAATTTATAAGGTAAGCACAAAAGATATAGTTATGTTTCATGCAAGACATCATAAACTTTTAACAATTGCACAAACTTCCTTTGAGCTAAACTGTCAGCTTTTATTAAATGAAAGGCCTACCTGTATGTGTAAGTTCATATGTCCATAGCATGGTTGAAAGGTACTATAATTTCTCCTACGTGCAGCCCAGAGAGCCCTTTAGGGAGGTAGCATACACTTATCTGAAGTAACTGCCCATCAGACTGTGTGGTCTCCTCATTAATGAGAGGCTAAAGTTCTGTATAAAGAAGACTTGTTTTCCAGAATGCTGATCTGAAATATGATTACGTTGCCCTAAGAAGAGAAGCATGCATAGTTGGATACAATTTTAGGATACAGTCCACCTGCCACACACCAAATGAATCTCCTGTTTTGCTTTTTGTTTTTAGCAAAGCATTGTATTTCCTTTACCATGTATTCTTTGTGTGAAATATTATACAAATAGGCATTGTTTTCCAAAAAGATTGCCATTTCTCTTTAAAATGTTGATCCTCTTAAGTTTTTTTCTCTCCTCCTCCAACTTCTCCTCTCTCCTCTTCACCTCTCGCTCCTCATCACACACCACAGAACTCATTAGGGTCAATGAGGGGAATCAGGACTGGAAAAGAAATGGAGAAGGTTGTAAGCCTTTTCTCAGCAATGAATCTAAATTAGTACTTAGGAAAAAGGATGAGAGTTTTGCTTTACCATCTTCCCCTACTATCTCAATATTCTTCTCTCTTTGGGATACACAGCGTTGGGATATTAAGAGGTTAAACTAGTTCATTGGGTGGGAGGCAGAAAGGATGAAATTAGATGCTGGGTGACTCAGTTTCTTATTCAAATACAAACTTCCTGGGTAGCTTGTCACTTAATATCCTATACTGGAATGACCATAAACTACCTTAACTACAATGAGCAGATGTGGTGAAGACGAGTATAAATAGGTCTTAGACTGGATGTGATGGTACATTCCTGTAATCCCAGCACTTGGGAGGCAAGTGCAGGAAGATCTAGAGTTGAAGGCCAGCCTGAGCTACAGAACAAGATTCTGTCTCAAAAGCAAAATAATTAATTAAATTTAAACATATATGCACAATTTTGAGATCTAAGGACAGAAACATGCTTTGCAATAAACAGTCATCTCCAATATTATTTCTTATTAACCGAGAGAATTATGATGCTTTGAACGAGCTTTTCTCCTCCAACTTGTTTCTGTTGGACCAGTACCTTGGTCCTCCACTGAGAACTCGGGGTCTTATCTCCTACCAATACTCTTATCCCAAAATGTATTTGGCATCTTTCTATAATACCTTCTGGCCTTACGGAAGCTTTGTATGCACACGCATGCATGCATGCATGCATAATATACAAATACACACACACCTTGTTTAACCAAAAAAAAATACTAGCCTATATATGTTTTTTGAGCATTAAATTTTGAGCCGTCTCTCTGTGTTTTGCCTTGACCTGTGTGATTTAGCAAAAAGCCTCCAGATGACACTGTGGCCCTTGCTCCCCTCTTTGGCCCACCATTAGAATCAGCTTTCGATGAACAGAAGACAGAAGGTAGGAAAAATGCTATTTTAAATGTGCATATTTTGAGGTATATTCTTAACCTATCATCACACCCTTATGGGAAAGAAAAGTTCCAATCTAGGTGTGCTTTCAAGAATGGAAATTTAGTATATACAACTCTATTATTTTAGGACTTGAAATTTTACTTCCAGAAATATCTAATGGCTAACAAGTTGAATTCTTGATATAGGTCAGTAAAAATTAATGCAGATCTACACAAATCCTTACCAGGGAGTAAATGCTTTGTGAACCAAACAGCTGTCATGTGAGGTGTTAGCAGGAGCGTGAATGAAGGCAGATCTTCTCATACTCATCATGGTCACTGTCATTGTGATCTAGTCTCTGATCACATTTACTTTCTTTTCCCCCTCTTCATTGGAGGTGGCAATTGGATTGCTCACCACAGCCACTGCTGGCTTATTACCCAGGAATTACTCATTTAGCAACTTAGAGATAAAATGCTCTGGGAAAATGCCTTCGTTGCTGTCATTACTGTTGGCCTTGCCTATTAGATATTTATTCCTAGAATTAAATGTCTAACTTTTTTAATTAATCATGTTTGGGATGATTATAAATAACGAATAGCTTGCTGATACACAATAACTTCTCTATAAAATGGATCTAATCTATTCCTGAAATGTGTTTCTGTCCAATGCATATATTTCCATTAACTGTGTTTGATAATATAGAATGTCTTTATTAAAGTAGTTTAACTTAAGAACACTAAGGTAGCCAGGCATCTGTGGCTCACACGAGTAATCCTAATTATTTGGGAGGCTAAGATCACAGGGATTGAGGTTCAGGGCCAGCCCAGTCAAATAGTTCTCAGAAAAATAGCCAGAGCAAAATGGTCTAGGAGTGTGACTGAAGCAGTAGAGTGCCTGATTTGCAAGTCTGAAGCCCTGACTTCAAACCCAGGTCCAACTAATAAAAAAAAAAAAAAAAGAACACAAAGGTATATATATATATATATATATATATATATGCCAAATGGTATTTTTCTCTTTCTAAGACTCATTGGGTAACTTTCCTTAAGTGTAAGGACAATAAAACTTGAAACCATAGTGAATAGGCTAACCTACAGTTTAAAAAGAGGCTTCAAAGCATAATGAATTATACAGGATAGAATTTTGTTTCATGTTAACAGTCAGGAAGTAAATAGTATGGGATGGTAGAGAAAGTAGCACAGCTCTGCTACCCTCCACAGATAACGCTCATCTCTGAGCCAAGGGGTTTGCTCCAACTCTCATCCCTTCCCAGTCAAAAGGAAGGAGGTAGGGGACAGCCAAAGGAACTCACTGCCAATTCTTACTTATAAGAGCAAAATCTAGAAGAGATATACAGCACTTCCAACCAAAGCCCACTGGAAAGAATTTGGTGCCATGTGATCAGCTAAAACTCTTCTACTATGGAGAAATTTAGGATGGATGTGGGAAATAGCCAGCAGTCAGCCACACCAAATATTTCCAATGATTTAGTTAGTAAAATTCATTTAAAAATCTCTAAGTACTCCTTCAGTGATTCAAATGTCTATAACCTAGAATCCCTACACAAACTGGACCTTGCAGTAAGGCAATTTGTCTTATTGACTCAATCTCGAATTTAATATGTAATTGTGATCAGTCTCTAATTTAATTACATAATTATACGGTTTTGATTTCTTGCACCTGAATCTGCCCATGTAAAGAATTCCATAGATATAGGGAAGCCTTATATGGAAAATAGAAACAGTTCTTAAAAATTAAGGTGGTGTCCCACACTGAGGCCATGAAAATAATAATGCTGCACAACAAAACAGAGTTAAGATTACCTTTGAGGTTTCAGAGAAAGAGGAGATACATATATCTGCACTCGTCAGAGGGTCTACCTTGACTGTTCTTTATGTGGCTTCAACCCCCAAAGTTCTATAAAGTTCCAGCATTTGAACCAGACACACTGTCTCTTCCAATACCCACCCGCCCTTCTTATCCACTCAGTCTTCTTTTGATACTTAGCTCAAATTTAAAAGACCTGTGGTAGGGGGAAATCTATATTTTGGAGTCAGGTATGCCTGGGTCAGATCTTAGTTCTTTTACTTGTTTGATGACAAGTCACTTACCCACTCTAATCTTTGGTTTCCTCACCTGAAAGTGATACTGATATCAACCATACGGTGGTGCTAAGAGAACTGAAATGCATAATAACAGCCACTGGCCTTGTGATAGATGCTTTATGTAAATTTTATCCACTATATTTATATCTGCTACTTCCTTCAAACCCCTCTGTAACTTCTGGGGTTGCTCTTGTTATCTCCACTTTGCACTGCAGGAGGGAAGCTCAGAAAGGTTAAACGACTTGCCCAAGGTTCTACAGTAAGTTCTTTTAAAATATTCACCAAACATTTTTAGAAAAATTGCTTCTCTTTATGATTCTGTAAAATGTTTATTTAAAAACCCTGGAAGATCTTTTAAATATAGGAATCATGGCACAGAACCCAGACATTTTCAGTTTTGAAGCATATTCTTAGCAGATTTTAAATAAACCAACTTGCAACAAAACAAATGTCCATGGAGTTAATGCCTGAATTTTCAAAAGGGTACCAGAAATGGAGCCAGTATGTGTACTGATAGTCAAAATGTCCTTAAGTGACCAACCAGGAAGAAAATGTGGATTCTATTTTGAAAGTCTTTATTTAGCTCTGTATACACACACGGACACCCCCGTCCACCCCCACACACCACATTCCTGTTTCTATCCTCTTCTCAAAAAGAATGAAAAGCAGCACACTCCTAAATTAATCTTCCATGTGAAGCAAGGGGGAGATAATTTTGTGAAGTTCAACTTTAAGTTGAAATTTTAAGTTCTAAAATCTAACTTACCCTAGGAAATTCTCTTTTTATGTTTCCAGTCCTTTTAGATCAGCCTGAGATATGGGGTTCAGGCCAACCAATTAATCCAAGCGTGGAGTCGCCAAAGTTAACAAGGCCTTTTCCCACTGGAAGTAAGTTATATGTCTACTGTCTAGAAAAATAAGTGACTCATTTTACTGTTTGTCTGTGTAGTGAAATCAGGCAACTCCTAACAGGTCAATGTAAGCAACATTTGGAACCGTACAATATTATGAAGAGATGTTGTTACTCTAACAGTTTTTATTTAGAGCTAAAGAGACCAGGGCAGGTTATCAAAGCAGGAATAAAATAATATATTATTAACCTTGAATCATAGCCTCTTCTGACATCCCACATGCTCATTTGCTATTCATTCATTCCACGTATATATGTAAAAGTCAGACACAAATGAGCTGAAAAAGAATCTTACTGGGCTGGGATGTAGTGCTTGCCTAGCATGCACAAGGCCCTGGGTTTGATACCAGCACCGGAAAAAAAAAAGACAAAAAAAAAGAATCTTACTATGTTCCACTCACTGGGCTATCACATGCCACAAAGTTGAACACTCGGATAGGGCCTCAGCTAGTCCTATAGAACTGTGGCTACAAGGATGAGAAAGTATGCTTTGAGAGGAAACAATGAGTTGCAAAGCAAGAGAAACGAGGCTTTGTGATAGAGACAAGTTGAGACCGGAGAGCAGGACAAATTTAGGTCAAAGCAGCCATCAGCCCTGCCTACTCCAACATGCTCAGGGACCAGACAAGAAAGTCCTGACAATCTTTACAATCCTTCACCTGTGGTGGGTTAGACTGTTTGGACTGAATGGTTGACTCATTTGGTCAAGCTATCTGTTTGATGGCTTTATTGAATACTCCTTTCAGTAAATTGCTCATAGAAATTATGTATGAGCAAGATGCTCTTCCAAATGCCTTGGGAGGACTGGCTATTAGGAAAAGGAGTTTGGGGAAGGTACAAAGCATGAGAGGTATTTTTACTCCTTTAGCTCACATGCAGACAAACTAATACTTTCTCTAGTTCAGAATCCCTAGGGCTTAGCTTTTTTTGGTGCCTAAAACTGATCTTAAGAATTAGCCAAGGGAATTCATAATTTTATTTTTTAAAAAAAGGTCATTTGTTAGGATTATTATTGCTATAAAACCATGTAATGCAGCCTTCCTAGGAATATTTTCCTCAAAAACAGGATAGGAAAAAGCAGCATAATTATAACTCTTCTTAAAGTTCTGAACTTTGAAAGATGTATTTGAAAAGATTTGAGCCATAATAGCACAATTCGAGTGTTTCTCCATCCCAATGGGAAACCAAGCCAGTGAAAAAGCCCTAACTTCCTTCCAAAGCATTCTTTATGGATCCGAGCTATCCAGATTATTCCCAGAAAGCTTGTTCCAAATGCCAAGAAGGTAAACAAAGGAAATGTTGACATAGATGATGTATGGGTGTGAGGCCCACTATAGGTATTTCCAGGAGTGAGTTTTATGTGCTGGGTTTACACTTCACTCAGCAGAAGCCATTGCTCAGTTGATGGGCACTGTATAATTCTGCTCATATTGTCATTGCAACCCAAGTTAACTATTTTAGAGTGTTAGAATTTATGGTATTTTATATTTTGCTGATTATGATCTTGACTGACTTTTTATAGGGATCATTAATAAGGAGCCTCTGTCTCTTAACTTCTGTGGGAAAATATGAACCACTTGAGACGTAGTTTTCAGCAGCTCATAACTAAGATTAAGAACCACATATTCCTAGGCATTAGGAAGAGAGCTGTTAGTCACAAGTGCAGTGTGGAAAGACAGGATGCTGTTTAAAAGTAAATGCATAAAACATTGAAGGGAGGGAAAGGGAAGAATGACAGGAAGGCTCATCTACCGTGTGCAGGTAGAAGGAATGGCAAGAGCACTCCAGCTCCGTGCCCACCTGACTCACTCTATTTTTAGGATATGAAAGATTGGACTGCACTCAGGTTCACAATTGAACCTTGGGATGGTTTATGAAATTGGTGTCAACTCTTGAACCTAGAAAATATAGCCAATGACAAGAAAACATATTTAAAGGGAGAAGAAAAAAAGTACCTTTTGAAAAGTAATTCCTAACTTTGTCTACAAAGTGAGAAGCCCAGCTTCAGAAGGGTAAAGAAGTACCATAACGCTACTCTTTTTCTTTATTTGGCTGCAATGTTTATCAGAAGAAGCTGTTCATTCTTCTTTGACTCAACTCAAATTGCTTCTGACTTTCAAAAACATGAAGATTTAATAACTATAACTTTGAGAAACCTTTCCAGATACCTTTTAGGTAATAATATTTAGATTTAAAAAACTCCTCACGTGAGCTCCCACCTGACCCATTGTCATTCCATGGTCACACTCAGGATTGTAACTGTTTGTTAACATGATAGTCCTTGTCAGGCATAAGTCCTTAAAGACCAAGGTTATTTGTATTCAATCCAGTGTTCCTAGCGCCTGTACAGTTGGTGGACCTTAGCTGTGGCTAGAGATTTGTTGAGTAATATTTGAATGAATAGGTTGTTGATATTATTGTTATTATCTGGCATTCTTTTGACAAATAAATACTAATTCTCATAAGGCAGAAGGATTTGAACAGGTCCTGCTTCAGTGCCTTGGCTTTGAACTTTAAAAATTTAGACTATTAATGGCTATTCCCTTTTCAGTATTAGGTATATGAATGAAAACCCTAATCTGCTTATCCACAGTATATTGAGTAACTTAGGAAGAATGTGATCAATAATGCTTGACTTCTCATCTTTTTGCAGCACCTCCACCACTGCCTCCAAAAAATGTACCAGCCACTCCCCCTCGAACAGGCTCCCCCTTAACGGTTGCACCAGGTAAACTGTGGGTTCCTTCTGTTCTGAGATAATGTGTCAGACAGAACACTGGCACTGGACCCCAACATGTCCTTGATGTGCTGGAAATTGCAGGCTACACTAAAATGTCACAATGCTGGCATTTCGTTTCTCTTTCATTACAATTGATTGTGCAGACTTATTTTAAGGCACCACTCTTGGGTTCCACCAAAAAATATACCAAGTTCTCAATTGATTTTTCCTCTTTATGATTTTATAGAGTAAAGGCTTATAAAATGGAAGAAAAAATTGTATGAAAAGTCAACTGACTTTGTATGAAAAGCCACTCATTTTGTTGAATCTCATTTTAATGATTTAAAAATTAATAGTCTCAAGAAACAATTTTTATTTTTCTAAGAGCCAGTAAAACTTTTTCTAGATCTAAAACTGTCTAGTCTACAAAAGCATAAAATGGTAACAGGATGAGCAGAATACTTTTGTGAGGAAATTTTTTCTCCAGTAGTCACTTAAGTTTTTATTCATCTCATGGCAAAGAGATGTGTAAAGATAGTGAAATATGGCCAGGAATTGTCGTATCCTTTTAGACAGACAATTTTGAAGGCACAGCTTTATCATCTATTAAAATCAATGCTATGCATTCATACAATTTATAATCTGCCACGTCTTATTGAACACCAAGCCAAAAGTATTAATGGTTATTTTATATTCCTGGGCCTAAATGTGGCTCTTTATCACTTTTGGAATTCTCTAGCAGCTTCATCCTTTGCTATTTATGCAGCTTAGTGAGTTCAATAGGTGTAGAGTAGGGTATTTATCAATAAAAGAGAAAGCAAGACACAATCGCCTGTGAAATTTATATTGACTTAAGTCCAAGAGAGGATCATCCAGCGTCTCAAAAGTAAAGGTGTTTGCAAGTTCAAGCCATTTGGGCTCCCTGTGTTTCCATAAATTATGTTAGATATAAATAAACCTACCAGCAACAAAATTATAAATATTGTGGGCATGCAAAATGCTACCCCATTTATCTGTAGACTTGAACCTTGAATGTAATTCCTTTCAAACTAGAAATATAGAAATACCAAGCCGTTGGTATAGCCCAAGAGTTATCTGAAGGTACAGTGGCTTCGGGTCATGACTTTCAGTTGTTTAAGTAACAACTTCTAATTTAAATGGCTTAAGTTTTTTTTTTTAAGTGCAGTTTTTTAAATTGCAGCTGTTGTCAAGTATTTTATGCCAAGCTATAGAAGTTAGTTTTGATATTTTTCTCTAATTATTGATATGAATTATAAAGAATAGATTTAGCCAGATCACAATTTCAAGGCCAGCCTGGGCTACAAAATTCTGTCTCAAAAATCCTTTAGAAATAATTGATGGAAATGTTTAAGTAAAACAGAGACTTTTCTGTTTCATGACTTCAGATATCTATATCATAGTTAACAGAGACGTTAACAGCTTAGACTTAATGAGAGAACAAATCATAATGATGCTTTTATGATTTTCTTCTCTATTAAACAGTTATATATGTAACAGTTCTTATAAGCACTAAATACCTTCTTGTAATCTATGTGTGTATTTGTGGGTATGCATGGGTGCATTTGTACATGTTTGTGTGAGGATATCTCTTTAAATAATCTTCGTCCTGTGTTTCTGGTATAGTTAAGATAGAAGATCTTATTTAAGGTAGCAGCTAAATGTGATGTCTGTATTTTAAAAGCAAAAGATATAACTAAGTTTTTCTACTTCACATACCAGGATAGACACCCTTATAAAATATGAGGATGATTTCAGTCCTCCATTCTTTGTATATTGTGTTGTATGTATTTCAACAAGCCAGATTTTCAGAGGCAATCTCCCTTTTGGAATTTGTACTCTCAGAGCCTGAATTTCTCTAGGAACATAACACCACCTTCTCAAAATGATCACCCTCGGCTCACTGGTGAACAGCCTCGAGAGCAGGATAAATGTTGGTAAAGTGGCCATTTGAAGTACCCGTCAAAGGAGTAAATAATAGCATAAAATATGGTGCTCACATTAGAGAGGTAGGGACCCTCCCTCACCTTCAGCTCCTAATCCAATAAAGATATCGTTATATCATGAAATATACCCCTTAAGGCACCTCACAAGGCAATGTATTTGCCAAGCTTTGCCTCACCACTCCCATCCTCTCCATACAAATACTATTAACAAAGTTAATTAATTAAAATTTAAAATCAACTACTTTAACCGCAGGAAATGACCAGTCAGCCACAGAGGCCAAAATTGAAAAACTACCATCCATCAATGACTTGGACAGCATTTTTGGCCCAGTGCTGTCCCCCAAGTCTGTTGCCATTAACACTGAAGAAAAGTGGGTCCATTTTTCTGATACGTCCCCGGAACATGTTACTCCAGAGTTGACTCCAAGGGAAAAGGTGGTGTCCCCACCAACTGCATCAGACAACCCAGCTGACTCCCCAGCTCCGGGTCCCCCAGGCCTCTCGGGTCCCCCAGGGCCTCCTGGTCCTCCTCGAAATGTACCGTCTCCACTCAATTTAGAAGAAGTCCAGAAGAAAGTCGCTGAGCAGACCTTCATTAAAGATGATTACTTAGAAACAATCTCATCTCCAAAAGATTTTGGGTTGGGACAGAGAGCAACTCCACCTCCCCCACCACCACCCACCTACAGGACTGTGGTTTCATCCCCTGGACCTGGCTCGGGCAGTGGTACAGGGACCACCAGTGGTATGTCTTACTGTTTGAGTGTGCTTCGTGTGCCGGGGAATGGCATGGCTGCTGCAGTGTGAGCAACACCTTCCTCTTGCCTGGCGATTGGCTTTAGGGCTTCAGCCATTCCTCCTTTGATCTGGGTGTCCTGTGGCCCCATGGCATGTCCTAGTCCCTTGAATGCTCATAGTCCAAGTCTGTGGATGTGTTGTCTTGCACTCCCAGCCCCAAGGCGTGACCTGCCTTCCACCCTGCAATTAAGAGGTGATTTTTTTTTTAAGAAAACTTGATGTCATTATTTGGAATTCAAGAAAATTCTAGAAAGATAGATTTCACATGGAGTAAGTTACCCATCAGATGTCTGATTTCCTTGTTAGATTCCTTACAAGGGCCTTAGATTTTGTAGGGGAAAGGTGGTTCTACTTTTTTCTTCTCCTTTCTTTTTCATAGATACAACTATGTTAAGCCCTCTAATTTCTTTAGGGAAAGAAAAAAGATACAAGGTTTGAAAGATTTTAGAGAATAAAAAATAAAGGTCACTTATTGCATCCCAGTCTAATTGACCTGCCCACTCAAACTTGTTCTCTGATCTCACCATTTGACAGTCATCAGACCAACTCTAAGTATGGTGACGTGTGATGGAAAAGTCTACCAGAAATGTATCTTTGGGGACTCTCAATGCAAACCCTCACATTGAATTTGACTTTTCTCTTGTTTTCCTTATTTGAAGCTTCATTTTGTGTTTGCTAATTATGAAAGGACATAAACACTTACCATACATAGCAGAGAAATGTCCAGATTGTTCAGATGCATCTCTTCCATGTCATTTTTTCCACTGTGCTCAAGTTCATCTGGCAAGATGCTCAGTGCTTTCCTTCCTGTGCACGTGGGTTCGAGCGAGGTACCTTCTGGGAAGAGCCTCATGCAACTTGCTTTTCATTTGCTTTGAAAGAGGCAAGCACTTGTGAGGTATTTAGATCTAGTAAGGGACAAGAAGGAAGGTGTCTGCCTCGATTTTATTATCCACTCATCCCTGTTGCCTCTTTCGGTTTGCTCTGTGTTTGGAAACACCTCTGTGCTTGTTAAAGTGAGGGCAGGGCATCAAGGAGGGGTTCGAGGAGAGCTGGGGATTCACGTGCACCACACATAACTCTGCTGTTTGAGTAATTAGGTATGCCTTTCCTGCCCTCTGCCCTCCTCCCTCTAAAAAGGAAAACTATTCAATACTCAAATAAGTTTGGGAAACATGACTCTAGGCAAAATCAACAAGTTTCCTTACCATAGGGCCTTTGAGAGCCTATATTATTCCAATAAGAACAGCTTTTACAATTTCATGGCCTGGGCACCATGCTAAGTACTTTAGGGACTGTTACTTTTCCCCCATTTCACAAAAATGTAAAAGCTGAGACTCAGCAATGTCAAGTAATTTGCCCAAGTTTTCACAGATGGAGGCACTAAATTAAGAATTCAGACAAACAGGTCTGTCCTATCCTGAGCCTGTGTTCTTAACCAATGTGTTCTGGGAACTTCTATAAAGTTTGGTCACAAAGTATCCCAAATTTATCTGACCACTGATCCCACCCTATATTGCATGGGGTCATCTACAAAATGTGCTCTCAAAATGTACTGCTTTGTGCCCCTTTCTTTAATTCTTGGGGGTCAGAATACTCACCTCCATGCCTGTGTTAATTTTGTAGGCATTTTTTCTGGGATACAAGGTTTTGTACTCACCTGTAAAGACAATAAAGAGGTGCTATATGTTAAGCCATCAAACAGCTAACCTAAAGAAACTGATTGTCTAAAAGAGGGATGAGGCTCTGATAGTTTCTACCGGCTCTCTTTCTGGGCCTGGCTCTCGGTCTTCTGAAAGACATGTCAAGAAACCCACCCCTTTCCAGGGGCAGGCAGTCATGTTTTCCTCAAAGTAAACACCTTCAGTTGGGGCAGGGAGGAGCAGGCAACTTTGTGACTCACCTGTGTCTCCTCTGTCACTTTTCACAATGCTCTGGAGGTATGCACTTGATTGAATTGACCTCTGATCTAATGAGGGACTGAGCAGCATTGGTTTTCTTTCTAGAATCTTTGAGAGTTTGGTAGTTATTTTAATGTTTAACTTCCAGACTCTTATGTGAAATTAGTTTAAATGTTACCAGTAAAGATATTAAGTATCAATAGTTGAGCTAGAGAAAGCTATACTTTGATAGCATTAAAGGACAAGGGAAGATTGAACTTGGCCAATGAAGCCCATGAATAAATAAAACTTTGGACCATTAGCTCCTTAATTAAGTCCCAGTTTATTTGCTGTTTAATCTTTTATTGATGGAATATATACAAACTGTTAGAAATGTAAAATTAGGAATTTCAACAATAGTGTACAGTCTCATGTTTTAAAGCCAAACAGTGCTTCTCATTACCTGGTTTTTATAACAGCCTGATACAACTAAATTTTCCTGTACTTCTCCAACTATATTTAATTGGATACAGTATACACCTAGCACAGGTGACTGTCTCTGACCAAGTGTAGACAGCACCCACACCTTTGTGAATTAGAAGAGTTACCTGAGGTTGAAACAGTTGGAAGTTAAGAATTTGCCTTAAGAACTTTAATTTCCATATGGCAAAAGTTATAAACACCTAGTTTATAACATTTAGAACATTGCTGTATTGGAATACAGGCACTGATTCTTGGGGCTGTCTCTTCTCCCATGTGGACTGTGTGCCTAGAGACAGGAGGGAGGAAAAAAAAAGAGTTTACTGGTCTTCAGCAAGTGTGGAGGTCAGAGAAAGAGATGAGTTAGTCAAGAAGGAATAATCAAAAACTATCACAATATTAAATTATTCATAATCTCTCTGTCTCTCTCTCTGTCTCTCTCTCTCTCTCTCTCTCTCTCACACACACACACACACACACATCTATATAAAATGAATTTAAATTAACTGGGGTTGAGCTAACCATATGTATTTCCTAACTACTAGTCTTAGGAGAGTTATGTACAATACAGGAGTCACTAGCCCCATGAGCTATTCTAATTTTCATTGAAGTAAATTAAAATGAATGTAAAAAGTCACTTCTTTAGATACAATAGCCATAATTCAAGTGCTCAGAGGCCATATGTGGATAGCGGTTTTCTTACTGGATGGTGTTGTTCCGGGACATTTTCATTGTCACTGAAAGCTCTATTGGAGAGCACTATTTTAGGGTTTTTGAAGTATTTGTTGTCCAAAAAAGAAAGAGTATATATTCATTCCCATATATACTTAATACTTTCTTCAAAGAAAAGGTGTAATTGTGTTCCAAGAAACACAATTTCAAAGTGCCTATGTTTTAATTCACTTGATTCTCCCTAGCATTGGTGGTATATTAACCTCATTTTGCAGATTAGAAAACCAAAGTTCAAGGCAGTAATTTGGCCATGTCAAAAAGCTAATGAATAGCAAAGCCAGGATTTGGCCCCAGGTCTGTTAGGTTCCATGGCTTGTACCTCTGCCACTTCTCCCCAGGGGCCTCCACTTCCCCCATTTGTCTACCACCACACAGACACATAGGAGGAGAGATAAAAGTTGAAACTGTAGAGATGTGGTTTTCAGGGTCACCAAAGAAACTATAATGAAACTTCAGGTTGAGAGCAGCAAATGGATTGAGAATATGTCAATGTTTGCCAACTTTTCTAACTCACAAAACTCAATGTATGTGTAATCATTGAAGTTAAACCTTAAACAGTGTCCACCTTACTTCCCAGCATCCTTTTTGGAAATAAACACTGCTTGAGGAGGAAATGAAAGTATCATTGAAAATCCAAGTGAGACAAGAGCTGTATAAATATTACCCTTCTGCCCCTTTAAAACAAGGAACAATTGAGTAATCTCACAAAAATATGTAAAGCCTTGATTCCATTGTGAAAAAACTCTCAGACCCTGCATATCCTCCTGAGCCTAAGAGTTCTGTCAGTAGGATTTAACTAAAGTGTCCTTTGCTTCTGACATAGTCACTTAGTATCTTTCTAAACTGAACAGCAAACCAATTCCATCACTTCAGTAAAGAGAAGGTGATTTAGATGGAGGCAATCAGTAAAGGAAAAGAACATTTACTTTTCAATTAGCAATTAACATTTTTCTTTAGCTTTAGTTGTATTTGTATCAAAAGATACAATCTTTGCCATCATCATTAGGCCTCTTATTTGTGTAGCATCTCATAGTTTAGCAAACTCTTTCATAAGTATTTTTCAATTTTGATGTCTAATTTTTTTAAAACTGAAGCTGAGGCTCAAAAGGTAATGATTCTGCAGCTGAGAAAAGGTGAATAGGGCCAAAACTCAGACCCTTGACCTTCCCGTTCAGTCCTGCTGCCTCCATGACAGCCCCTCAGTGCTTTCCCAAGCATTACTGAAAGGGGGTTTTAATTTCTCTTCTGGAGCACATAGGGAAAGGATAAGCAGATGACCATCCCACAGCTTGATTCTGAAGACCATTTCTTGGCTGCACACCCATGGATAGACATTTTGGACCATTCCTATAGCAAGGTTGCCTTATTGCTGAATAGAACACCCCTCCCCCAAAAAAGTCCCCTGAGACTTTCTGACAAAGATCTTACTATTTAATGGCCTAGTTCCTGTCTCTATAGTGTCATGTCTGTCTTCAAAAACATCCTAGATATAAATCTACTAACTTAATACTTAAAAGAAAACTTTGTAGTCAGCCTGTCAAAACATACCCATTTTTAAGAGAAAATTAGCCAAACGCTAAGGATATTTAGAATGAGAGAGATGCATGCAAACCAACCATGCAAAAATAACAGATTTTATGCAAAATATGAGACTCCGTAGTCTAGTGAAAGCTGTAGAAATTTTAAGAGCTTTGGAATTAAATACATAGCTTGAGTTTTATGATCTTGCACAAGTTACTGACTATATCTCAGAACTTCAGTTTCCACTGAGACACTAACAATACTTACATCCAAAGCTTACCATGAGGATCAGGTCATATATGTAAAAATAGATTCTGGTCCAATAAAATAAAAAACAAGAGTACAGTAAAAGTAAGAATATAGTAGGTGATAATGATAAAGCAGGTGAAGTAGAGAGGAGATGGTGGTAGTACTAAGGTTCACGCTGTGATTAATAAATAAACATGCAGAGAAACACACAGGAGAGTTCAACAAGAGAAGCAAGGAACTTGCACCAGGGATTCTCCTAAGATGGCAACAAATCTTAGATGGGTATTGCTACTCACCTTCTAAGCTCTTTGAGAATCCAAAAATCTAGATGCCGAGCTGCTGGTCCAGGCCTCCAGTGATCAGTTTCATGGTGTGTTGTGAGGGGATGAGAGGAGGCATAGCAGGTGAAAGGGAGATGTGAAAGAAGCAGTAAGGATGAATATTTTCCTGGGGCAGGATTTCTTAGCGTTTTCTTGGGATGATTTGATAACCTGTTGTTTCTAACCAAAATGACAAAACATCTGAACTTTTTGAATATTGGCTTACCTTTCCTAAGGTTTCCGGCCAAGTAGCTGTCCCATGAATCCCAGATGTATGACTGAGAGAGACAGGTCCCAGAGTGCTGAGATTCCACTGGTGTGCGCACTGGCGTGCATGCCAGCCTCTGTGTGTCATCTGTGTTTCCTACGTTTGTCATGGACAGCCAAAAAAGTAAATCCAAGAGGCTCTTCACGAGCAAACTCTACATGGGCAGACTCCTAAGCAGACTTTGTTAGAAATTAAATCCTCTAAATTCGGTTTATTTCTGTTATTAAGATTAAACCCACAAAGTACCACGCAACATCTAAAGTACTTTCTTATATTTTGTCCTTTACTTACTTTGAGTGTTTAGGACACTGATAAAGCTGGCACTCCTATTTTAATATACAGATTCATCCATGTTTAAAAAATAAAACTCTACCCAGGTGTGGTGCTGGTCGCCTGTAAATCCCAGCTACTTGGGAGGTAGAGGCTAGTCCCAGTCTAGCCTGGGCAAAGTTACTAAGACTCTATCTCAAGAACAAACAAATAAACAAATACAAACAAAAAGACTGGGGACATGGCTCAAGTACTAAAGAACTTGCCCAGCATGTGTGAGGACCTGGGTTCAATCCCCAGTACCTCCAAATAAATAAAGATTTAGAAAGAAAAAAGAAAATTTAATGTAGAAAAATCATGCCTCTAACTTCAATGTCCAACCTCCATTTTTATCTTGGACATAAAGACATTCTGAATATTAATTTAAAAAAGTGAATTTATCATGTAATTGGTGTGTATATGACAAAACAAAAAGTACCTAAGACCTAGCCAAGAGTCATAAAAATTTACCTCTGTCACAGATAGAGTAATAAAAGGATTTACCTTTCACTGGGTGTCACATGACAACAAAAGATAATGAGCTTCAGCTTCTGCCATCAACCATAGTTCAACTGAGTAAATTTTTTTTCTTTACCTAAAAAAGAAGAAAAAAGAAAAAAAAAAAATGTGTGCTGCAGTGTTTAGCATAGTAACTGCCAAAAAGAAAAAAGCGTCCAGGACTTGCATTGTACTGTGGTGACAGCACTTGGGCCATCTGCCTTCCAGGTATGTCTAATACCAGCCTGTTTTCCAGGTGCATCATCTCCTGCTCGACCAGCCACTCCCTTGGTTCCTTGCAGCAGCTCTACTCCACCTCCACCTCCTCCCCGGCCTCCATCACGGCCAAAGCTACCTCCAGGAAAGCCTGGAGTCGGAGATGTGGTATGTTCCCCTCTGCCCTGGCAGAAATAAATGGTGAGAGTGACAAGTAGTCTCAAAATACCTTAACACAGGACATCTCAACTGCAGGGCAAAGCATTAGCACACTCATGCAAACCACTTTTATGGGTGACATCTGAAAGATAGTAGCTGCACTGTGGGTGTAAACTCAACCTTTCTCAGATCTCTGCCAGCTTTGTTTGCTTCAAGAGTTGGATGCAAATGAAGTTAGTCATGTTCAATGGTGCTGAATCTTTTAGAGTGAGAGGTGTTTCCTTTCCCAGTATTTGTCTGATTTTCTGAAAACTCTAAGAGGGAGAAAGTGCTGGCTAATGATTCTAGAATGCAGATAAATTATTGGTAGTAGGCATGCTATGTGAATATAAAAAGACTGGTAGACTAATAAATTTGTGGCAGAAGCTTCTCCCATTGTGTTCCAAGGCTGATGAGTGGAAAACATTCCATTGAACAATTAAGGGACTTGTGCCAGAGGTCAATTCCCTGGTATCTGGACATAAGAGTCACAAAATGATGACGTGCATAGTACCTGGTTCAGCTAGCACAATCCAGTACTTTGAATTTCAGCATCTTAAGAGGAGTATGAACTCTCACACTAGGCTCCCTGCTTAGTCCCTGAGGGCAAGTATGACAGAAGCCAGCTCCTCTAAGCCTAATGTGCTCCCTGAGTTTAGTATGCCATGGGTTATGGTCCTCCAGCTTTGCTCCACAAGTTCCTGAATTAATATAATCCAGTTGAGTAATGGTGTCACTGGTATATCTTTAAGAACCACAGTGGTCGTATCCGGGGCCGGGAGACATTAGACATATGGAGTGAAGTACTGCAGCCTGTGTATTAATTTTTCATCTCTTTTCTTCTTCTTACAGTCCAGGCCCTTTAGCCCACCCACACACTCTTCCAGCCCTCCTCCGATAGCACCCTTAGCCCGGGCTGAAAGCACTTCTTCAATATCATCAACCAATTCCCTGAGTGCAGCCACCACTCCCACAGTTGGTAAAAATTCTCTCTTTTCACCTGTTTGTGGTTTTGAATGGCTATCTTTTTATGATCAGAACTCCCCAAGGCCCTATGTTTCTGGTGGAAATTGTTTTGCTGTATGTTTGCTATGATCACTTGACTCTACTTTTACAAGCACCTTCTCAACAAAGGAGTCAAAGTACTAGACCTAAGCAAATGAACGAATAAAGTGAACACAACTTCCTGTGTTTTGCAGGGATTTTCCTATGCTATTCCATACAGAGTTATTCACAAAAGTAAAGACGAAATCACCCTGTAATTTAGATATTTCTTACAATTAAAAAGTCTCCTTTGAAGGGAAATGTTTTAATTCCTACTGCGTTACCACATCAGTAATCATGAATTTTTGAACTTTTATTTTCTTGAAGCTTTCATTTCTTCATCATTTTTGATTATACTAAAATTGGCAAATGGTATAAACATTGGCATTGTAAGACTTGAGCAAATTTTTTGGTGTCTTTTTTTCTAGTGCTTTTCAGTGACGTGGTCAATTTTCCCAGAAAATAAAAATTAGTTATTGCTGGCATTTTCCGTAAATGCTTTTGTGCCTCTTTCCTTACACTGTGAGGAAAGGAGAAGATCAGAATGGCTTCTCAGCTGGATGATTTGCCCAGGTTTAAATGCTTAATTTTGCAGGGAATGGCTCCCTTCTTTCCAAGCTGGTCTCTTTCCCCATCTCCCATCAGTTCCTGCTTCCTTTCTTGTTTATTGCATGGTATCTCTGACCTGGGGCTTTCTCATTCAGTTTATCCCATGTGACTTCCCTTCCCACTGTCTTCCTTTATTGTCTCTAATTCTTTTATATTATAAACCTACTTACCAATCCTGCATTGCTCCAGAAAATCACTAACCAAAGCTAAATAAATTCCTGCTGTTACTTATGGAAGAGTACATTGCAGAGTCAACCATGTGGGAAGTAGCTTGATCAAAGTCTGGAGCTCTTCTGGAGAAGAACTGCCCATCTTCTCAGAGAAATAAGTGAAGACATGACTCTCTACCCTCAACAGGAATTTCAGCTATATCACATGCTTTGTACTTTAATCAGACTGTCCCAAAAGGAGCCTTCAAATTTGGTGAAAACACAGACACTTCTCCAATTTCATGAGATTTATTAGTACACAGATATTTAGCATTGTTTATCTAGCCACATCTGCTCCTTGCCCATATCAATTGGGACAATTTGGGGCTTCCTATCTTTCAATACCTATTTGCTCGTTTCTCCCTGATTTTTGTTTGTTTGTATGTTTGTTTCTCATTATATCCTAATCTTATTTTTTCTAACTCTATCTCTTTAGTCTTCTTGATTGCTGCAGCCTTCCCCCATCTTGCTCTACCATTGTATTTTCTCAAGATCATTTTGTCCACCCACTCCATTTCATTTGCTTTGTTGGTTAGAGAGAAAAGCAAGAGTGAGCTGTCATTCAGAAAGTGACCCCAAATGACCTCAGATGGGTCCTCTTACAAGGTCTTCTAACTCACTGTAATTCATAGAGAAAATTACACACACAGGGAATTTGAATTCTGTTCATGTTTTGGACACAGCGTTTCCATACTCCCCATTGCAGAAATTTCAAATCATGGCCTAACAACTTTGATTCTTAACCTATCTAGTGTGTGTTCTTTCAAGATGAACCACAGAGGGGTTGAAAAATAGCCATATAAGAAGATAGTCGCATCCTTCCTTGCTGAGGAGCGCAGTGATTTGAGTGTTTGCTTTTGTTATTTTTATTTGGTCTCATCTGCCCACTGAATTCTTCACCCTCCTGCTCTTTCTTTCCTCCTGCTGTGGGTCACCTGACAGTTTCTCTCTGAAGTAATTACCCTGCTAAATGACTGACCAGCAGCTGCTTATGGGTTGCTGCTTCTCTCTGGAGGATGTACTTTTGTTGTTGTTCAACACCCAGGGGCCTAATCATGACTGACTTGGAATGTCAACTTTCTGGAATCACATGGCATGGGAGAGGTGGAAAATCTCAGCAGCAAGTTCTCTGAAGCTGATGGATCCACATTTCCCTCCCACCACCACAATACTTTTTTGACATTTCCAATGGCATTTGAGCCATACTTAGAGCAAGTATAAGGGAACCAATAAACCAAAGTTAAAGTAATTCAAGAACTCAATCTTTAAGAGCAAGTCTAAATTCTCTACACATGGAATAAAATGTCCCTATACAACTTTAGATAGCAAGTTTTTATATGATTTTAAAGTAGTAAATCTGATGACATATGGGAAAAAGAACTTCCTGTGTGTTGCTACCTTCTAATAATGAACTCTTACACAACTATATTTTACTGAATTTAGGACATCCTCAACTTAAAATGCTCCATTATTTTACATATGATTAAGAAAGGGAAAACTATCAAATGAGCTAAGATGCAATGTTTTCTTCATATGAAGTATAAGATCCAAACCAATTTTAATCAATCAATGGAATATAGTAAAGTCTTTTTGTGCTAGATACAGCTCACAGACCCTATGCTATATGATTTGGGGGGAAGTTTTATTAATAATATGAGGATTGGAGTGACTCAAGTGATAGGATGCCTGCCTAGTAAGTGTGAAGCCCTAAGTTCAATACCTAGTACCACCCTCCAAAAAAATACTATGAGACAGAAAAGAGAGAACAGTAATTGTAAATATTATTACAATATTTATTATAATATTATGTAATTTATTAGCTGTTTCTTATTTCTGTAAGTGTTAGTAGTAGAATGTTTTTAGATATTCGCAGTCTTTCTTAAGACCCCAATGCAAAACAACCACAATTTTTTTCCACAAGGAAAAGTTTTTTCCTGTTAATGTCACTGTTAATTATGTTTCTTTACTGGTAATTATGCATTTGAAATTGCATCTTGAACATCACAGAAATCTGTAATGAATGAGAACTAATCCATCTATGAGACCAAAAGAAGTAATCCCATGGATTCTGATGTTTCCTTGGTCCAGAATTTTGAGCAAAAGTGATTTGTAGTCAGTAATGAAACCATAGAATCTAACACAAAAAATGTTTCCTCCAAGATATGTAGCAATTCTAAATTGTGTAAGCTTTCTAAAAATCGTGACAATTATTCTGCACAAAAACAAAGGAGGGTATTTTGTTGGAACTGTCTCCAATATTCCCACAAACATTATAGGAGTTACATTAACTTGTTCTAGCAATCAAAGAAGTTCCAAGTATACTAAAAAAACTGTTTGACAAGTAAAATTCTGAAACATTAAGAATTGACCAAAAAAAAAAAAAAAAAGTTTCCCTGCCTTATTTCCTCAGTCTAGGTGACAAGCTAATAAAATATTTTATTTTTGAAAAATATTTTTCAAAAACATTATTGTTTACGGAATACCTTTCTACCCTCATGGTCCTAACTTCTCTACAATGTAGATAGGTTCTCCATTACTGGTCTTTTTACAGATTTTATTCAACTTTTTATTGTTCATAATAATACCTTTGAAACCTGTGGCATTGTTTTTTCAATCACATAGAGTAAAAAACCCAGTTCCTTGCATTTGTTAGCTGACTGGGTAAAGATCTGAAACGGTTGATGTCCAAAGCATCAGTTCACAATGTTGTGACCGATTTACAAAGACATTTAGCCTCAGCTGGATTCCATGGCCAGAGAGGAATTATGATAATGCTGTTTGAAATTCATGGTCCAGAACTGTCTAAGGCAGGTGCAAAGGCAAATTGAATTTGGATATTGATGAGGCTGAAATGGATAGTTCATGCAGGGAAGTTGGATCTATACTGTTGCTTTTTTGTTCTTTTTTTCCTGAGGGAAATATATATGCTGGGCAATGCTGGTGAGGGCATTCCAGCTGATGGATGTATGTCTGTCCCCTTGAGAACTGCATTGGAATGGAATATTCTTGATTAGTCAATTATTAATGGTATTGTCTTTTACCACCACCCTCTAAGAAGGTGGGACATGGCTCCCTCCCTGGACCTGACTTCCACCAAACCCTGACATTTTAAAAATTTTGATTTCCTCTCATAAAATCATCAACAAATAAGCACATCACTTTCTTCATCCTAATCATAACCCAGTGTCTTAAGTTGTGTTTCTTTTTTTCCATGAAAATCATTCCCATGTTGTAATCGGTAAACTGTGCTGATCAGTTTCATTTGGGATTTGTATTTGTGTTTTTGTTTTCCATTCGTTTATGTTTCTTTGGTTCGTAGTGTCAGAAGATGATGTTTTTTATGACAAACTGCCCTCGTTTGAAAGGTGCTGTGACACGCCTGAAGGTATGGTGCTAGTTGAGTGATTTCTAGATATCTAGATTTTAAAAATCCAAGCCATTATCCATCTGAATGCTAGAAACTTCACAGACATGCTCCTCACCTCATGAGTGTTCAGTGCCTCTCAGAACTCATGCCACCAAAATGTCTTGAAGTAGACGTTTAAAAAACAGCAGGATGCATGACAGTTTCTCAGTGAAAAGGTTCAAATCAGGTGAGATACCATTGCTTTGTGAATTTTCAAAGGAAGGAATAATTTAACTGCTCAGAATTATATGTTCAGTGACTGCTTTTTAATTTAAAGCATAATGGAGCACCGTTGGTAACCTTGTGTTCTCTTTGGTACAGAGGTAAGGGAGTTTTGTGTCTGGATGCCTAAGGTGATTCCAGCGGAGGGGACGGAAGATCCATGACATCTTCCTAACTTTAAATTGATATGCAATGCTGGTGTCATTGAAAGTTAAGCTAATGTTTCATACAAACCATAACTCCAAGTTTGTCTTTTTGGAAACATGGAAGGGGGTGACATTGAAGATCAAATGGATACAGCAATTGCTAAAGGACAGTTTGCCCACGTTAGTGCAGTTAAAATATGCTGACGCCCCTGCATGGCCAGGAAGACTTCCGCTCCATGCACACAGTCCTGAGTATCAAGCTACCTACAAGCCTGTCCATCCCTTTAGACTCCATAGCTTGCTTTTGCTTTCTGTTTCCTCAACTAAAAAAAAAAAAAAAAAAAAAATCCTAGATTGCCAGCCTTCCCTTTCTCCTGCACGCTAATGACATGCAGTTCCTCCGCCCTTCCCCACAGTGAGATGAATGACCTGCTCTGTAACTCACGTTGTATCCTTCTCTCTCCCTCTCCTTAACCTTTCCCATCCCGCTTCAACTCCTGGTCATACAGAGAATGAACAGCCTTCCCTCGTTTGGTTTGACAGAGGAAAGTTTTATTTGACTTTTGAAGGTAAGTAGTGCATAGCATACCAGGTTTTAATTTACCTTCCCCGTGTCCTTTTGTCCTCATCAGCATTCCAAAATCCCAGTTCTCTTCAAAAGTTCTGGTCACACTATCATCATAAAAATGCTATGGCTACTTAGAAAATATTAAACACTAAAAAAAATATTCCAGGAATTTGGTTTGTATGTCACCTTCAATTTTTTCCATATTAAACAAATTAAAGCTGATTTGCAGTTAATGTTAGTTATTCAATTAACTGTGGCCAAAACAACAACAACAAAAAATCAAAATGCACCTTTTTTTTAGCCAAGGAACTTAACTCTGTCAACCAGGGCTCTTAACTAACTCTCTTGCAAATGCAATGCAACAAATATAAGATATTGGTGTTTAACCTTGTTTGAAATTGCTATTCCAGATACAACATCCATTATTGTAAACTGTGTATATAAATATATTCTTATGACAAGGAATGCTACATAGGAGATCAGACAAACAGGGAAAAGAAAAAAAGTATTTTAGTAGGTTTGACTACATCTAAAATTGCATTGGAATGACTGCAGTAAAATGGGCAACTGTAGTAGAAGACTGAGGAAAATATACACTGAAGACTTATCACATAAGCTCCTATTTCTTAGGATTTTTACCTCGTTAAATTTATCCTGTGCTTAAAGTTGGTCAGAAAATATTCTTCTCTCAAATTGAATCTTAACATTGTATTTCATGACAGCAGAAATTTTCCTGACCTAGGTGGGTGTTTTGGTGCAGTTTTAAAAATCAGAATGGCTGGTCTACATATAAATAGTTTGTGTGGTTGTGGCTATTTTCTCTCCACAGTGAATTTTGCTTGGACAAATTCAGAGTAGTTTGGATAACTACAAGAAAAGTGGTCTCATTTTAAATACCCTGATGTTTTTCCTAGCCTGGATAGAGAACAGGTTGACTAAGCAGTCTTCATGGCAAGATGAATATTTTCTACATGATTTCAAAGCTTTCATTTCATTGCTTAAGTCATTAATTTTTTAATAACCAAGATGCAGAGTCCCCAAACTTGTGACTTCCTAAACTTTCTCTTTGAATCAGATGGAATTGAAAAATGTCCAGGTATCTCTTTACTAAAAAGCACATCTCAAAAGAAGCAGCTAGGGATGAATAAGTTGGTAACCCAGAAGTAAGCAAACACCAGCACAGGTAAAGGCCTTTCTCTGGTTTAGTCCAGCCACAGTTAAAGCCCCAGTTTACGATTTTTTAATAAGAAAATTAAGCAGTACAATTGGACAACTCTAAAATAATTGTCTAGGGTTCCAAACACCACCTCTGACTTCTCTTTTATTATTGCTGTTTGTTTTGCTTTTGGAACTCATGTTGGTTCATTTAGTTTGGTTTCAGTGTGAAGTCTCTTTTAACAGACAGAGGAAGACCTTTTTAGAAGATTCTAATCTAAAAACATTTTGCTTGTTCACTTGAAATATATATATATAATCAAATATATTTCATAAATATATGAAATAGCATCATTTTATGGAAATGAGTATACTATTTGTTAGCAGATTTCTGGGAATCTAAAATTGGTAACATTGCCATTTTTATAAGGTCTGCATTCTTTAGCACCTCAGTTTGAGCCAAGAGAAATCAAGCAAGAAAGAGTTTTAATAGACGTTAACTGGAAATTTTAGTACTGTGTTGTCTTCATCTTAGACTTTGTTCAATGTAGGCTATAGATGGGACTTGTGGGGAGGCATGTGAGAACCACATGAATGTGTGCGTCTCTATTTATCTCACCAAGAAACGCTTCTACAGGTAAAAGTGTGTTAAAATACACCACAAGGGAAGCCTTAGGAGAAAGTAAAAATGACACCTTGCCACCTAGCAAGAGGGGCTGTGTTTTAAGAATGAAAACATTTATGTATATTAGTCTCAGGTATTTAAGCTTGTACAACCTGGAAGAATTTTTTTCTGCTATGATGATAAAATGACACAGAAATGGCCACATTTGAATAGTGCCCCCACCTCAATTTTTATACTCCACAAAGACAGTCACTTAACATGTTTTATTGAATAACATTTCTCACATATTCATTTAGGATACTCTGGCTTTCCTCATATTTGTTATTTTTTTCATTATCTTTAATGCTTCATTCAAAGACTGTAGAAAGGAAGAGAGATTCCCATGGTTCCAAATAGGTTTTCAGTTATTATTTACTGACTTCTAAATTGTGTTTTTATAGTGTTCAGAACCTTAGCATGCCTTAGTCATTGTTTGGCTCTTATAATGATTTAAATTTTACAGTCACTCAATGTTTGAGCCATTGACTTATGAATTTAATTGGAGATAACATAAATCGTTTTACACTTCCAAACTTAACAAAGAAGACAGGAAAGCATTCAGCAGTGGTTCTAATTCACATGAGTCCCAAAGTTTATTGAATGCCTTTCTTTTATAAACAGCTTCACTGAAATCTTAATCTATTTAAATTGTGCTTTAAAAAAAAAGTTGGTTACAAATGGCAATGACTTTTTAATTTCATTTTTAAAAGTATATCCTATTACAGTTATCAAGTATCCCTCTCAGATGAGGAAATGGTATTTTCATAACAAATCAATGTGACTATTAGACATTTGAGCAATTTTATAGAGCATTTTACCATCCAGATGTTTCCAGAAACATCTCTTTGGTTAGCTTTTTTACCACACCTTTTTTGTGGTAGTGAAAAAGCAAACAATAACCAAAATATGCTGTCATAAATTCTTGAGTGTCCTTGTATCTAATCCTAATCTGTCCTTATAGCCTCTTACCTGTCGTGCACTGTCCTCTCAAGGTGCTCCATGCTCCTGTGTGCTGCCCTTCCCCCACCATTCCCATTGGGAATGTCATCCCTAGCAACATTTCAGCCTCTGTGCTGAACTCACTCACCTACTTCCGTAACTGAACCTCAGTTCTTTCCAGGGACTAGCACTTTCCTAGTAGCACTCTCCAAGGAAAGTTCTTCAGTCTTCTGTGAGCCACATGTTAGGGACTAAGAGGCAGAATTTAAATTCCCCCAGCTCCCCATTGCCACTTCTGAAACCTTCCTGATTGTGGAGAGCAGTCATCTGATCATTCGTCCTCTTCCTTTCTGTACCGCTATGATCAACTGCCTTCAGAGCGTCTTCTACATTCCTCTGTAGGCTGGAAGTGCTAACAGTTGCTTTTTGTTTCTGGCCCACCTCCCTTCCTATCATCACCTGTGACAGATTCTGTGTACCTGAGCCATCCAACACACAGGCTCCAGGGCCTCTTGACTTCTTCAGTTTCAAAAAAATGTTCCCTCCAATTTAACTCAGAAACTCACACCTCTGGCCACACCTTGGAAATGATTCCCATTGGCAAGTATCATTTTGGCTCTTTTACAGCTAACATTTGTCACACTTCTTGTATACCAGGAACTATATTAAGCAATGATTCTTTCACTCAACAAATATTTTTTGAGTGTACTATGTGCTGGTGCTGTGCTGAGTACTCTCCAGTAGGAAACAAAAGAGAAAACCTCCCTGTTACCACAGAACTCACATTCTAGTGTGGAGGCTTAAATATAAAAAGGTGAATAAGTAAAATAGATAGTATAGAGGTGGTAGTGAGTTTTATAGGGAAAAAATAAAATGGGAAGGAGGATGAAGCTTATTGGCAGAGGTGAAGAAATTAAAATAATAAATAATAGTAACTAACATCTATAGTAACAACTTTACTATATGCAAAGTACTTTCCATCTATGACCTCATTTCATCTGTACAATGCATTGATAAAGACATTGAGAGTCAGTAAATTCAGAGTCACAGTCAGGCAGAAGCAGAGTAAGGTTTTAAACTTGGCCTGCCTCACTGGGGACCACTCTGCTCTACCCTTCGACCTAGTGCATACAAAGTCTCTCTTAGTCTTTGCATGAACAAAGGTTTTTCCTTCATCTCCTGACCACCAGCCCTCTAATTTCCTCATCATGTACCTTGTCTTTGATCTCACTGAGACCTCTATTCTCAGGTCCTTCCCGTTTTCACTCAGATCACTAGCCAAGGCCTGCATTTGGTTTCTTTTCTCTATCTGGCTTAATCCAGAGAGGAAAAAATATGTTACTGGAAGATCCTTGATCATTTATACAATAAGAGCTACATTCTTTTCTCTTTTGAATTATGTTGTCTCTGTGAAGCAGAATTCTAAACATCTGATCTTCATAAGAGGTTATTTAATATCCCCACTTAATCTCTGGTAGTCATCATCATATAACGCCAACTTTCTTTATACTGACATAGTAATAAAATCATATAAGAGGTGAATGGGCAAACTTCTCACACCACAAAGATGGTAAGTCATTCACTTGAAAGTCACTGAAGAAAGGATAATTGGAAGGTATGACCAGTTTTCTGGGAAGCAACTGCTTTGCTCAATTCACAATATCCTTCAGGTGGGAAGTGTCCACTCATTCTACCTACCCCATTGGAGGTCCTTTTCAAATCAATGATGCAGTAAAGTTACTGAGTACCAACTCTGTGCAAATCATAGTGTTAAGTAAATTCAGATTGGCGAACCAATGTAGAAACATAAAAACATTGGCTTGGGTTTGTCTTCATTAAAAATACTAAAATCAAGCTGGGCACCAGTGACTCATGTCTGTCATTCCAAACTATGCAGGATTGCCATTACAGGCCAGCCTGGACAAAAAAAAAAAAAAAAAAAAAAAAAGTTCGCAAGAAAAAAAGCTGAGTGTGATGGCACACACCTGTCATCCCAGCTATCTTGAGAAGCATAAAATAGGACTGCAATCCAGCCCTGCCTGGACACAAAGTGAGATCCTCTCTCCAAAATAACCAGAACAAAGAAAGGTTGGAGACATAACTCATGAGATAGAGCACCTTCCCAGCAAGAGCAAAACCCTGAGTTCAAATGCACAATCCTATTAAAATAACTGAACATCACAAAAAGTTTTCTAAAATAGCCTAACTGTGTTGAAAAGATTGAAGTGGAATCAAATCTGTAA